GGGAGGGGGAGGGAACGAGATTCAATGTTAAGGACAGGGAGCAGGTCTTTATGGGGAAGAACTCTAGGGGAAAGGGGAAGAGGGAGGGGGGAGGTCGGGAGGAGCAAGTAACTTCAGCAACCATAGCAACATCATAAACTAATATTGTCATCTCCTCTTCGAAACTCTACTCCCAACATTAAATCTGCCTAAAGTCAAAAACATCGCAACAGCTCGATTATTGACCATTCATTCTTTGGTGTAAAATTTAGAGGCGTCATAAAATAAATATGCCATCCAATTTAATAACAAAACTTCACTTTCACTTTAACCCATGGACATTCATAAAAATGTCACGTCCTGGTTTTTCAACAATTCAACCTTTAGAAAAAGGACTTATGCTCCACGGTAAAAGTACAGTCGTCTTTGCTCTAACGACCACCCATCCAAAACGACCACCTGTCCAAGACAATCACCTGTACAAAACAATCACCTGTCCATTATAATCACCTGTCTAAAACAATGGCCTGTCCAAAACAATCACATATACAAACAACCACCTCCTACTTCCCCTCTTGCGTTTTTCCTATCACGACTCTGTCGTAGTGGTCACTACCAGTCTAAGCTGACTGCTTCTCTCTTCGACACTGGCTTGTCGTTATGGATAGGTTTGACTTTATGCTATTGCTACGTGCAGTTACTAACTTTAACCATTTTTGTGACGATGTTGTTTATCTTCGTCGTTCGACTAACTCTTCCCAAAAAAAGAGACATCGCTACCTTAGAATTAAAAAGTTCTGTCCGCTCAGTATCTAAATTTGAGAAATTTAACCTAAAAAGTTATGAGTTTCTCAACATGGCAAGCCTTTTCGAACGCAGTTCTTTGAATATCTTGATAACGATGCCGAATACTCTTACGATTTTGATACAACAGATAGGACATTTTGTTTCTGACCTCACGTCGTCTAAGTGACTCAAAACGGCCAAAAATGTTAGACACCTCGATACATGGAGGTGTCATCTCTGACTAAGAAGTTGGAGCGTAATGCCGCCCCCCCCC